AGACGGAGGAGGGAGGGGGGTTTTGGGAATGGGCCACAATAATCAAATTCATTGTATATCAACAAAATAAAATTAAGAGAAAAATAAAATAAAATAAATTTGTTTATCTAAGCTAAAAAAAAAAGAATCTCCTTTAGCCATTCTTTTAGCGTATATCTGTGGGTGACAAAATCTCCTAGTTTTCCTTCATTTGAGAATGTCTTTTCATTCCCTTGAATTTCTACAGGATGATTTACATGAATATAGAATTTAAGTTTGACATTTTTTTAATTTTAGCACGTGAAAAATGTTGTGCCACTTCCTTCTCAACTACATGGATTCTGACAAGAATTTTGCTATTTCTCATATCATTTTTGTCCTATAGGTAATGCATTGTTTCTCTCTCCCTGGTTTCTAGATTTTTTTTTTCTTTGTCTTTAGTTTCTGAAGTTTGGCTATGATGTGTCTTTTCATGGATTTCTTTGGGTTTATTCTTTGTCAGGTGGAGGAAGGAGGTTCCATTAAGTGTCAGTTGAGGATAAATGTCCATGTTCTCCACCTGGCCTCCTCTGACCCTCTGAAATGGGAGGCCCACTTCTTCCCAGTGGGGATGAATATTTTGGTTGTCTGCATAGACTTCTCTGATACCACTCCAGATGGTGGGCAGGGTGCCTCATTACCATCAGGTGAGAGTAGCCACTCCACCTCTTCTGGCGTGGATTAAGGGTAGTGCTGTCGTTTTTTTCTGTGGTGATTGGTTGGGATAGGGCAGTCGTACAAAAGCTTTCTGTCTTGCTAGGCTGCTTTTTACTGGTCCATTGGCCAGGACAGCAGGCTCCATGTGGAGCTCTTTTTGTCTAAGATTGTTGGTGTTTCTGGGTTGCCTGCTTCTGCAGCACCCAGTCTGAGATATATGAGGCAATAATAAAGCAGAGAGAACTCACTTTCATGTTTTTCTCTGGGTCTCAACGTCTCTAGCTGGTTTTTCTTCTTTTCCCCACTTTTCAAAGTATTCTTATGTTTATTTATTTATAATTTCCAGGGTCTTTAACCTTACCTAGCTTGAGTAACAGGGAGAAATGCATATGCTGTATCTTGCAACATAACCATGGGTTCTTTCCTTTCATTTTTAATATAAGGAAAATTTGTATATTTGTATCTCCCCCTTTCTTAGGTAAAAAGTACCTGCTACACACACCTTTTTGTACCTTGACTTTTTCACTTAACAGCATGTCTTAGAGATCCTTCCATAAACCTGTGTGTTCTGCCAAAGTAAATCTGCCTTAGAGGCTTCTGATTGTACACTGCTCTGTGGTTATGCCATACTTTATTCATCCAGCCACTACTGATGGAAGTTTAGGCCTGTCTTCTTTTGCAATAAAAATAGCACCACAATAAATATATATCTGTAGGTATATGTGCACCTTTATTTAAACCTATGTCTATCACTGTTTAGTGTTATTGCCAGTACACACACACAAATGCATGTGTATATACACACAATTATTTATTTATTACAGAAACTGGATTACTGAGTCAAAGGATGAGAACATACATAATTTTACTGCATACAATCAAATTCACCTTCATAGTGCTTATGTTAGTATTGCATATCTACTGTAACAAATTACCACAAACTTACTTGTTTAAAACAAGAGAAATTTATTTTCTCACAGTTCTGTAAGCCATAGTCTAAAATTAGTTTTATCGCATCAAAATAAAGGTGTCAGGAGGGCTATGCTCCCTCTGTAGATCCTAGGGGAGAATCTGTACCTTTCCTCTTCCAGCTTCTGGTGTCTACCAGCATTCCCTGGCTTGTGGGTGCATCACTAGTCTCTGCCTGCATGATCATTTTGTCTTCTCCTCTTGTATATGGGTCAACTCTCCCTCTCTCTCCCTGGTAAAAACGCTCATGACTGTGTATAGGACCCACCCAGAAAAAAATAAGATAATCTCCATATTTTATGATCCTTAGCTTAATCATATCTGCAAAGACCCTTTTTTCTAAATATAAGTTAATATATATGATCTCCAGAAATTAGGGCCTGCTATCTTGGGGGCACTAATAAGTGAGTTTTGGGGGGACATAATTCAATCCACTGTAACATCATAACATGAATCATATGTGTATTTTACTAAAACATCTTTGTACTATTGGATGGATCCTGATTTATCCTTTTTTCTTCATCTTTAGCTATGACGCCAATTTAATATTTTAAATTAAATGTTAATTTAAATATTAGTTAGTTAATTAATTTTGATTGATTAGGGTGTCGATCAATATTTTATGTAGGATTTTTATATCCCCATTCACAAATCTGACGCTCAGAACTCTTTTTAGCATGCTTCCTTCACATTATATTTCCTTTAAATAAAAATGAGATCTTTTTCTTCTTCATACTCTGACACCATTTCATTAACAGAAAAAAAAAAAAAAACACCTGTTCTTTGATGGTCTGACATAAAATGCTTTTGGAAGCCTGGCCATTTGGGATGGTAACTCACTGATGGCCTCAGTTTCTTTCATTCTTCTTAGTCCTTAAGTCCCTTTTTTCAGAGAGGAATAGGTTTAATTTCTGTAATTCATATTTCACAAATATATACACTTTATCAATATTTTCAGTTGTGAAAGAGATATCTTTTACATTAAATAATATTCTTAATTATTCCCTTTTTCTCTCTAAGGAAGTTATTTAGATGTGCAGTTTAGTCATATTTTTCAGCCAAGAACTCTATATTTATTCAAAAATTATACAGTTTAGGGCATTTTTCTAGGACCTAAGTATTGTCAAGAAAACAATTTTTAACTTGTTTAATGTTTAAGAATNAACGGGATCGCAACCCTCAGTGTTGCCCCTGCTCCTCGCTCAGCCAGTGAGCGGCCGGTCTGTATGTGGGATCCGAACCCTCGGCAGGAGCGTCGCCCTGCTTCCCAAGCGGCGCACTGTAGCAGTGCGCCACCGGGCCGGCCCCTCACATTTACCTTTCTGTGGTTTGACAGCGTTCCCCCATGTTACATGTTTGTCAAATTAGAGAGTGTGTGTACACAAGACCTTATTTGAATACAGGGCCTATAAGTGGGCACCACCCTGTAACCAATCACCACTCTCTTTCATTCCAAGGTACTGGAAAACTATGTCTATTGTGGCTGAGCATTCTTCTAAATGTCTCTACCCAGAAGGGCTTTAAGAAAGCCATTTCCAAAACAGAGAAGGGCAAGATGTGAAAAGAGATGCCACTGATGCCACCGAGACAATGACTCCTGTGTCTACAGGTTCTGAAGCAGGTTCACCCTGCATTTCGTTGAATTAAATACCACGTGAATCGCGAATTCTTCTGTTAGCGACCTCTTCGAGCGCCTCGCCGAGGAGGCCGGCTGCCTGGCCCGTTACAACCAGCGCTGCACCCTCACCTCACAGGACATCCAGGCCGCCGTGCACCTGCTGCTGACCGGGGAGCTCCGCAAGCAAGCCGTGGTCGAGGGCACCAGGGCTGTGCTCAGGTTCACCATGAGCACATGAGCCGCCTCCTGCCCCCGGGCACGGCCCCCCAAAGGCTCTTTTCAGAGCCGCCCCAGATGGTGTGCAAAGAACCCGATGCCGGTAAGTAAGGTTGTTTCTGCTCTGGTTTGTGAGGTGTAGCGTCCTGCTATTTAAAAAAAATTTTTTTTTACAAGTACCTAAATATCAATTTTAATTTAATACATCAATGGTCTAACTTGTTTAAAAAATAAAATAGTGGGTTTTGCTCAAGAATGTTGCATTATACCATTTTACTAAAGACTTAGTTCTTTTAGATAGTTTTCGAGGTCAGCCTTTCACGGGGTCTGTAGAATAATGCTATTTACTTTTCCCACTCTCATTCTCTTACAAATATGTGGTGAAATTTTCTAGAGATGCATTATGTATCACATTTCAACAAATTAAGTGCAGGAACAGAGAAAAATCTAAAAGGTTTCTATTAGGACAGATATTAAAGAGCTTTTTCAAATATATATTTTAAAATTCCCATTTCCTCATGACTTTTTTAGAAAATATAGTTTTCATATGATTTTATAACTTCGATTTACATGATATAATGGATATTTTATTGTAAGTTTTAAATGAATTAAAATAAATATATTAAATTTTTTCAGTTTTAATATTTAATAAGTAAATATTGACACATATAGCTGCATGAAATTTTAAATCTTCATTATTTTTTAACTGAAAGTACTTAGCCTCTTTCTCAGCCGCTTTTCTACAAGAAGGGAGGGCTGTCCCTTCCCTCCCACCAGACAAAATTCATTCACGTTTATGGACAGAAATTATTTGCATTGTTATAAGTTACTTAAAGCTTACAGAATTATAAAATAACTCCCACAGAATTAGAATCAAACAACCCAGAAAAGTGTACTATAGAGAAAACATAATTTTCCTTTGAAGAACATTTTCCCTGTAGTCTCTCCATGTTTAATAAATATTAATCTCAAAGAATGATTATTCTTGACCACAAAATAAGGCTGAACTCATTACATTTGGCTTGATTATTTACATAGGTGCAGCAGGAATGCTAATTTACTATATAGCCCTTCTTTAGTTTTCTTTGCTGAGAGTTTTCATAATGATAATAACACTGGACTATTTAAAATTGTGGTAAAATATACATAATGTAAAATTTACCATATAAACGATTTTTTTGTTGTCCAGATCAGTGACATTAAATACATTTGCATTGCTGTGCAACCGTTACCACCATCCATCTCCAGACTTTTTTATCTTCCCAAACTGAAACTGTGCCAATTAAACAATAACTTCCCATCCCACCCACCCCTGTAACCATTATTCTATTTTCTGTCTCTGTCGGCCTGACTACTTTAGGTACCTCGTATGGGATACGTCAAAAGATTCATGGAAAAATATAATTAAAAGGTAATAGAATAATTTCATATATTTTTTTTTCCTTTTGGCTACTGGCCGGTACAGGGATCTGAACTCGTCAACCTCGGTGTTACAACACAGGGCACTAACCAACTGAGCTAACCAGCCAGCCCTATAAACTTTCTTTTAATTGAAACATAATTGATTGTATATATCCGTGGGGTACAGCATGGAATATCCATACCTGTGTGCAATATGTGATGCTCTAGTCAGATAATTATTATATCCAACATTACACAATGTAGTCATCTTTTGTGGCCCTTTACCAGTTTCATGCTAACCCCCCCCACCTCTCATTGTCTCCATTCTGTTCTCTCCTTTTGAAAGTTCAATGAATTATTGTGATTGTTTTATCTTTTTTTCATAAACTTTTTGAAGTACCCTCGTGTAAGTGGAATCATACAATATTTGTCCTTTTGTTTCTTATTTCACTTAGCATAATGTCTTCAGGGTTCATCCATGTTGTAGCATATGACAGAATTTTATTCCTTTTTAAGGCTGAAAACTATTCCATCATATGGATATAGTACATTGTGTTTATCCATTCATCCCTTGATGAACATTTGGGTTGTTTCCATTTTGGGCTATTGCGAATAGTGATGCTGTAAATATGGGTGTACAATATGTATCCAAGCACTTACTTTGAATTCTTTTGGGTATGTACCCAGAAGTGGAATTTGTGGTTCATATCCTAATTGCATGTTTAATTTTTTGAGAAGTTGCCATACTGTCTTCCACAGTGGCTGAACCATTATATATTCCCACCAGCAAAGCACAAGGGTTCCAATTTCTCCACATTCTCACTAACACTTCTTATTTCCTGTTTTTTTTTTTTTTTTTTTTTTTTAATAATAACCATCCTAATGGGTGTAAAGTGGTATCTCATTTTGGGTTTGATTTGTATTTCCCCAATGATTAGTGATGTTGAACATCATTTTCATGTGCTTATTGGCCATATGTGTATCTTCTCTGGAGAAATAGCCATTCAAGCCCTTTGCTCGTGTTTAAATTGGAACATTTACTTTCTTGTTGAGTTGTAGGAGTTCTTTATACATTCTGGATATTAATATCTTATGAGATATATGGTTTGCAAAAATTTTCTGTCATCGGATGGGTTGCCTTTTCACTCTGTTGACAGTGTTCTTTGATGCACAAAAGTTTTTTATTTAGATAGTCCAATTTATCTGTTTTTTTCTTTTGTTGCCTATGCTTTTGGTATCCTATGTGGGGAATCATTGCCAAATCCAGTGTCGTGGGGCTTTTCCACACTCATCCCTTGATGAACATTTAGGTTGTTTCCATTTTGGGCCATTGCGAATAGTGATGCTGTAAATATGGGTGTACAATATGTATCCAAGCACTTACTTTGAATTCTTTTGGGTATGTACCCAGAAGTGGAATTTGTGGGTCATATCCTAATTGCATGTTTAATTTTTTGAGAAGTTGCCATACTGTCTTCCACAGGGGCTGAACCATTTTATATTCCCACAGCAAAGCACAAGTGTTCCAATTTCTCCACATTCTCACCAACACTTGTTATTTCCTGATTTTTTTTTAAATAATAACCATCCTAATGGGTGTAAAGTGGTATCTCATTTTGTGTTTGATTTGTATTTCCCCAATGATTAGTGATGTTGAACATCATTTTCATGTGCTTATTGGCCATGTGTGTATCTTCTTTGGAGAAATAGCCATTCAAGCCCTTTGCTCGTGTTTAAATTGGAACGTTTACTTTCTTGTTGAGTTGTAGGAGTTCTTTATACATTCTGGATATTAATATCTTATGACAAATATGGTTTGCAAAAATTTTCTGTCATCGGATGGGTTGCCTTTTCACTCTGTTGACAGTGTTCTTTGATGCACAAAAGTTTTTTATTTCTATAAAGTCCAATTTATCTGTTTTTTTTTTTCTTTTGTTACCTATGCTTTTGGTATCCTATGTGGGGAATCATTGCCAAATCCAGTGTCGTGGGGCTTTTCCCATATATTTTCTTCTGCTTTATAGTTTTAGCTTTTCTGCTAGGTCTTTGATCTATTTTGAGTTCGTTTTTTGTATATAGTATAAGGGAAGGGTCTGTCTTTATTCTTTGGCATGTGGATATCCAGTTTTCCTAACACTTGTGTCCTTTCCCCATTGAATGGTCTTGGTACACTTGTCGAAAATCAATTGACCATATATGTGAGAATTTATATCTGGGCTGTCTATTCTATTCAGTTGGTTCCTATGTCTGTCTTTATGCCATTTCCACACTATTTTGATTATTGTAGATTTGTAGTAAGTTTTGGAATCAGGAAGTGTGAGACTTCTAGCTTTGTTCTTCTTTTTAAAAATTGTTTTGGTTCTTCAGGCTCCCTTGAGACTCCATATGAATTTTAGGATGAATATTTCTGTTTCTGCAAGAAACATCATTGGGATTTTCATAAAGATTGCATTGAATCTGTAGATCACTTTGGTTAGTACTGACATCTTAACAGCATTAAGTCTTCCAATCCATGAACACAGGATGCCTTTCCAGTTATTTATGTCTTTAATTTCTTTCAGCAACATTTTGTAATTTTACTGTAGGTGTCTTTTTCCTCCTTAGTTAAGTTTATTCCTAGCTATTTCATTCTTTTTGATGCTACTGCAAATGGAATTGTCTTAATTTCCTTTTCAGATTATTTATTAGTAGGGTATATGTGGGGAAAATAGGATAATTTAGTCAGGCTCCCTGACATTTCTTGTAAACAAGTTGTGTGTGGGTGGAGTTAGTGTGCATGTGCACCCATGTATTTTTCTAGTTAATTGCTTTTGTGTGTTCTGCAGTTAGTGAAGCAGTGTTGGCTGGCACAGCTGGCTTCTAAGTGGCTAGCAATAGAGCATGTTTACTCTGCTGGCAGCTGCTCAGTTTCAGTTTTTCTTTGGACTTTGCCGGTTAACAGTTGAGTTTTGGAGTTTCTCTGTGGACTGGTTGGCTCATAGTGTTCTGTGTGTTGAATAAAGACTATTACTCCTTCAGCCAAGGCTCCGAAGACCTTTGTCGCTGGTTACCTAGCTCATAGACCTGCGTGTGAAGGGCTTGTGAACCGGCTCGAGGGGACTGTGAGGTTCAGACCCTAGCCCTAGCTCTACAGTATAAAAAACACCACTGATTTTTATCTGATGATTTTGTATCCTACAAATTTGGTGATTTTATTAGTTCTAACGGTTCTTTCATAGAATCTACAGGTTTTTCTACACATGAGAGTATGTCACTCTTGAGCAGGGATAATTTTACTTCTCCCTTTCCAACCTGGATGCCTCATTTCTTTTTCTAGCCTAATTGCTCTGTCTAGAACTTCCAGCACTATTTTGAATAAAAGTGTCTTGTTCCTGATCTCAAAGGAAAAGCTTTCAGGCTTTCACCATCGAGCTTGATGTTACTGTAGGTTTTCCCGCATTATATTGCTAATATATAGCCTCTTATTATTTGCTTATCCTGAGGCTAGGAAAGAAAGCCAAGAAACTCTCCCCAGCAGATTTCACCTGCAGTGGATAAAATTTGGGCCAGTTCTTTCTTCTCGAGGTTACCAAACTATTTCGGAATTCTGGACCTCCCAGCATTGACCTTCCCTTCTTACCT